CCGCCCCGAGGGGCCCCCCCCCCCCCCCCTCCGCTCAATTCATTATAAAGTGACCACAAACTTATTTACAAGCAGCTCTGTAAAAAGCATGTGAAACAGATACTCTGATGTTGCTACAGTAGTTATCTAGAATGCATTTAGTACAAAAATCTGGTTCATTGTGATGAAAATGGTGCATCAAGCATTGACTTAGGAACCAGTGCCCCCTTTAATCTATTGATCCTAATGGGAAAACCAGTTTCACTTCCAACAGGACTTACAATGCAATTCTGAGGAACGAATTGTGTCATAAGTCTGAGAACTCCCTTTAATTGTAATATGGACAAAGTACAATAATGTGGTTTAGCAAAGCAATGGGATTTCCCTAATCATTTTCTAAAAGGCCAGGAAACTAGATTATTGCAAGTGTCAGTGGTTGGTCAAATATTTACCCAACTACAGTTCTTTCAGTTCAATACACTCCATCTTTCCCATAACTGCTGCCTATGTGACAGTCTGAGATAACTCAATTAGTACAAAAAGATAAGACTATATTAGAGTCTTGGGAGGAAGAAGTTCCTAGATAGAGTCCCTAATGCATACAAGGATAATGGTAAGATAAAGCCCTAGTTAATTATATTGAACAGGCAGGAAGAAACTCACAACTAATCATGCTGGAGTTAAAAGTGTTTTCTTTTTTTAAATGAACACTCAATACTGATTGTGTGGTTCCTGTTATTTATCAGAGGATCAGGATTGTAGGGCCTAAACATCCATTGATATGCAGATATTGTCCTCAAGTAAACATCACTTAGGAGAACTGCGGGAGTTTTATTTGTGCCATGGATATTAATGGTGTTAGAGAATCTTAATTCTATGTAATACTTTTGTAAGAAGCTACAAGTAGGGCTATTGCTCTCAGATAGTATAAGGCAGACTTACAAAACTAAAATGACAGAGCAAACAACCATCATTACCTGTGTGTGTGTGTTCGTTCCGTTCCCTTGGTGAGCTCTTGCTGGTGCTCTAGGTGCCCCCATGGTGTCCCAGATGGCCACGTCTGCTCTGGCCAACAGTTTGGCAATAGAAGCCATAGCCGATGGACCCACCTCCACGTGCCTAGACCAGCCTGGCCCTTCAGACCCATCGGAGCAGTCGGACCTGCTGGAGCTGCCCACGCGGCCGGAGCAGGCCAGAGAGGTAGATGCTGGGGAGGAGCCCGACCAGCCGGACCTGGAGAGCTTGGAGGAGATGATGGAGGTGGTGGTGGTGCAGCAGTTCAGGTGCAAGATGTGCCAGTACAAGAGCATCTCCAAGAAAACTCTCATCAATCACATGAGGGAGCGGCACTTCCAGCCAGGTAGGGATGCTGCCTCTTGGGAGGCTTATCTGCCAGGGTGGGAGGAGTTTCTGTTCTGGGGGGAGCAAGGTGGTTAATGGGCCGGGTGGGGGCCCCACTGCTTCCAGGGAGGTGGCTTAGAATGGCTCTCTCGCAATGGGAGGGAATTAGGCTTCCCCAGTGGAAGTGTGGCCAGAACTTGTTTTTCTGCAATGCATTTACTGAGGCTAAATTGTTCCACCCTTAATTCAGAATTCTCTGGCAGGGGAGAATTTGACCCTGAATATAAAATGACTAGAAATATTCAGCCGTCCGCAGCTGACAGAATGAAAATCGAAACACCCTGTCCAAAGCTTTTGATTTGGAGAGCAGTGAATGTAACACCATTAAAAACAAAACCAAAACCAGCCCAAAGGCAGCCCTGGCAATCACAGAACAGGGAGCCGAAGTTCCCTGCCTGGCAGACAGGTTACAGCTGGAGGATTGCCAGACGTTTAGTTAGGCACCATTTGTTGGGGAAGAGTCAACACAGCCTTGCCAGGAGAAATCCCGCATCATCAGTCTCTGAGAATTCTTCCATGTCCCTCCCCTCAGACTGTTAAGCAAAGTGAACAGTCGGTGGTGGTAGAGGCAAAGTGCTGAGCATGGGAAAGCATGATCCCTGTTCTACATTAGGGATGTAAACATTAGTCTACTAATTAGTCGAGTGAGTTCTCTTCTCCCCACCCCACCCCCCGCTGCCTCTGTATCGGACGGAGCAACTGGAGGAGCAGGAGCCGGTGCTGAGGGAAGCCGGCTCCCCCAAACACCATCACCATGGGGGGCGGGGCAGGGGAGGCAAAGCCGCAGCAGTCCAGGAGCTGGCATGAGCCGCCCCTGTGAGCTAACCCCACTGCGGCGCTGTATTCTAAATGTGATTAGAGCCCGGCAACTCTTCCTACATTTAAAATGCAGAGCCGCAGGGGCAGTCGTCCCCCCCGCCCTCCCATCGACTAATCAAGTAGTTGATGGAAATTCCATCGACTGCTCGATTAGCTGATTAACCGTCACTTAACAACCCTGTTATACTGCAAAATGCTGGGGTCTAAATTAGCTGTAGGCGCTCGAGAGATCTGGAGTCTTTGTGGGTAGTTCTCTGAAAACATCCCCTGCGAGTGCAGTGAAGACCCAAAGTGCCAATGTGAGGAGAAACGTCTTCCAGTGCCACCGTGTAACCCTGCCATGCGGACCCACCTTGGGTGCTCAGGGAGCCAAAGGGCTTTGGTCTCAAAAAGAAGCATTGGAATTGGAAACAGAGGGGGCGATGGACGTGAGGAGAGAGTGAAAGGAAACCAGGATTGTCCCTCAGAGAGACGTTGAGGGGTGGCTGCAGAGGCCATACACAGGGTGTTCTGGGCAGGGAGGTTCAATAGCGGTTCACTGACTAGTGGAGCAACCTCAGGAATGCTTCCCGGTTAGTCGACTAGCCCAGTGGTCCCCGACGCGGTGCCCGCGGGCGCCATGGCACCCACTGGGGCATTTGTCTGCCCGCGGAATGATCTGGGCCAGCCCCGCCCCCGGGAGCGCGGCGCATGGACAGCACCGGCTCTGGGCACGC